TTTCACCATGTTGACCAGGATGGTCTCGATCTCTTGACCTCGTGATCCACCCGCCTCGGCCTCCCACAGTGCTGGGATTACAGGCTTGAGCCACCGCGCCCGGCCGTAAGACCTTATTTTCAAAATATTTAACAAACAGTGGAATCCAAAATTAATTTGAAGGTGATATAAATGAATTAGAACTGCTTTAAGTCTAGGGAACAGCCACTAAAATAGAATTAAAATCTTAACATTTCTTCTCCCCAAATGATACAGGATTAAAGACAAATGCCAGGGGCATCTGCTTATGAGAACTAAATATTTATTTCCAGTTACCTCTGTTATTTATGAGCTCTAATTCAGGAAGAGAAGAAACAAATTCAGCAAATAGCATTAACCTCTAGCACTTAAGTACAAAATTGCTAACTTCAATAGCTATTAACATGAAGCAGATAAATTTAACCGTTTAAAGTCAGTAACTGGCTGGGCGTAGTGGCTCACACCAGTAACCCTAACACTTTGGAAGGCCAAGGCGGGTGGATCACCTGAGGTCAGGAGTTCGAGACCAATCTGGCCAACATGGTGAAACCCCCCACCCGTATTCCCAGCTACTCAGGAGGCTCAGGAAGGAAAATCACTTGAACCTGGGAGATGGCGCCAAGATTGCGCCACTGCACTCCAGCATGCTCGATGGGAACGAGACTCCATTTCAAAATAAACAAACAATTAATAAAAAAATAAAGTCAGTAACTTCTTTCCAGTTTGCAAGACCAACTTGACTTTAGCCATGAATTAATAACAAAATCACAGTAAAACTTTTAGCAGAAACAAAATCACTGGGCATATTGTGAATTCTTTTTAGTTGTTAAAAAATGTAAGCCAGGTGTGGAAGCTCACACCTGTAATTCCAGCACTTTCACAGTCCAAAGTGGGCAGATCACTTGAGCTCAGGAATTCACACCAGCCTGGGCAACATGGGAAAACTCTGTCTCTACTGAAAATATAAAAATTAGCCAGGTGTGGTGGCGCATGCCTGTAATCTAAGCTACGAGGAAGACTGAGGCACAAGAATCACTTGAGCCCAGGAGGCAGAAGCTGCAGTGAGCTAAGATCCTTCTACCACGCTCTCGCCTGGGCAACAGAGTGAGACTCTGTCTCAAAAATAAATAAAATAAAAACAAAACATTAGCCGGGTGAGGTGATACACGCCTGTAGTTCCTGCTACTCCAGAAGCTCAGGCAGGAAGATTGTGTGAGACCAGGAGGCTGAGGCTGTAGTGAGCTATGATCGCACCACTGCACTCCAGCCTGGGTGACAGAGTGAACTCTATCTCTTTAAAAAAAATTTTTTTATATAAGTATTTATGGTAACTTGATCTTCAAAGTAATACCGAGGCAACCAATGAGACAGAGCCTCATCATTCTGTTACTTTTTTTTTTTTTTTTTTTAAGACTGAGTCTTATTTTGTCACCCAGGCTGGAGTCCAGTGGTGGGATCTTAGCTCACTGCAACCTCCGCCTCTTGGGTTCAAGCGATTCTCCTGCCTCCGTCTCCCAAGTAGCTGGGATTACAGGCACATGCCACCACGCCCAGGTAATTTTTGTATTTTTAGTAGAGATGGGGTTTCACCATGTTGGCCAGGCTGATCTTGAACTCCTGACCTCAAGTGATCCACCCGCCTTAGCCTCCCAAAGTGCTGGGATTACAGGTGTGAGCCACCGCACCCAGCCTAAAACCAAATTTCTTACTTTATAAAATATTTAAGTGAACACTCTTATTTCCATTACCTCCCAAAATAATGCTTTAAAATATTTTACTTATATAAAACTGCATGAACTGACAATGATTACGGGGAGGGGAAATGAAACTTCGTAAGTTGTATTTTTGTACTGCTTGTATAAATGACATTTATTTAGTTTCATAACCGTGTGTTAATATTTACAATATTAGTGGCAATCAAAAGACACTTTCAATGAAAAAGGTCACTATTTTAAAAAGATATTTCTAACATTCTAACATCATGTCAAGAAAAGTAGTAATTCTCCTTTTGCATGCACTCCCAAAAGCCACCTGACTTTACAGCCATGATTTTTAAAACATCTGCATAGCAACAAAAAAAGTAACAAAAACCTAAGAGCTTTTTTCCCAAATGTTAGTCACAGCCCAGTGGTGGGCAATGGAATTCCTGAGGAACTTTAAACTGTAAATTCCTGTAGCCCATCCCTAACCAAAACTAGATTTTCTGGAAAAAATGTGATTCTAATGCACAGAATTTGGTAATATTCATCTTTCTACCCTAAGTCAAAACTTGAGGACTTGGCCGGGTGCGACGGCTCACACCTGTAACCCCAGCACTTTGAGAGGTCAAGGCAGAATCGCCTGAGCTTAGGAGTTCAAGACCACCCAGGGCAACATGGTGAAACCCCATCTCTACTAAAAATACCAAAAATACCGGGCGTGGTGGCTCTCACCTGTAATCCAAGCACTTTGGAGGCCACGGCAGGTGATTGCCTGAGGTCAGGAGTTCAAGACCAGCCTGACCAACATGGTGACACCCCATCTTAAAAAATAAATAAATAAATAAATAACTAGGTGTCGGGCACATGCCTCCAGTCCCAGCTACATGGGAGGCTGAAGCTTGAGAATCGCTTGAGCCCCAGAGGCAAAAGCTGCAGTGAGCTGATATTGTACCACTGCACTCTAGCTTGGGCTACAGAGTGAGACTATGTCTCAAAAAAAAAATAAATAAAAAACTTTGAGAACTTGACTTTGTTTCTTGATTCACTTAACTTACCTTCTTGATTGACGGACGAATTAAATGAGGGCTGGGGTACATGTCTATATGATGATTTCTGGGGCGTGAGGACGCTTATTGGGGGTGGGCCTCCAGCTGGAGGGGGCCCATGAGGATCTCCTGGTTGAAAAATTGTAGGCAGAGGTGGATTCACTAAGGGAGGTACAGATGAACCTATGGAAACATTGGTTTTTCACGTGTCACTTAAGAACTTAAGACAATTACCAAAACCAGCCTTTTACCAAAGCTGAGTAATTTCCAACCTTACATTTAAATTATAATCACCAAAATGTTACCAGAAACATGTAATTTCCTAAATTTACAATGTTTCAATCTATATGCATATTTTACACATTTCTTTCCTTTTTTTTTTTTTTTTTTTTTTTTTTCCCCGCGTTCTTTTTTTTTTTTTTTTTTTTTTTTTTCTCCCTCCCCTACCTCCCTGGTTCAAGGGATTCTCCTGCTTCAGCCTCCTAAGTAGCTGCAGTTACACACATGCGACACCATGCCCGGCTAATTTTTTGTATATTTAGTAGAGTTGGGGTTTCACCATGTTGGCCAGGCTGGTCTTGAACTCCTGACCTCAGGTGATCCTCCTGCCTTGGCCTCCCAAAGTGCTGGATTACAGGCATGAGCCACTTTGCCCGGACCATATTTTAGAAATTTCTAGCTCTCCCCTACCAGGCCTCTTACCTGTCAATTATTAGAGCAGAGTAAAAAGAAAATTTGGATGAAAACACTTTTAAAGTAGATACATTGCTCTGTTTGTTTTTTTTATTTTTATTTATTTATTTTTAATTCAGTCTCCATAGAGACTGTCAAACATTGCCAATGCCAACTATATTTCAAGTCGTCATGGCGGGGTATTGGGAAAAGTTTTCAATTAGCAATAATCATGCCTCAGATAAACCTCATTGGCTACGATACTGCCACTGCACAAAGCTATTATTATATTATTATTATTTTTTAATTTTAATTACATAGAGAAGAGGGGGTCTCATTTTGTTGCCCAAGCTGTTCGTAAATTCCAGGGCTTCAGTGATCCTCCTGTCTTGCCCTCCCAAAGTGGTGGGATTACAGGCACAAGCCACTGTACTTAGCCAGCCCTGTTTATTAATTTTTTATTAACTGATCATGGCCAGGCACAGTGGCTCATGCCTGTAATCCCAGCACTTTGGGAGGCCGAGATGGGTGGATCACCTGAGGTCAGGAGTTCGAGACCAGCCTGGCCAACATGGTGACACCTCATCTCTATTAAAAAAAAACAAAACAAAAAAAGTGATCAACAGGCCATGTGAGATACATTCTAGTACAAATTAACGTAACTATTTTAATGTTATTGATTTTGTAATATTTTGTTAATTTTGTTTACTAACATAGACTGTTCCATTAACATCAATTAAGTTTAGAGTGAGTCTAAAAATAGAGGGCGGGCCAGGTAGAGTAGATTACCTGTAGTCAAGAGTTCGAAACCAGCCTGACCAACATGGTGAAACCCTGTCTCTACTAAACATACAAAATAAGAAATTAGCTGGGCATGGTGGTGCGTGCCTGTAATCCCAGCTACTCAGGAAGCTGAGGCAGGAGAATTGCCTGGACCCAGGAGACGGAGGTTGCGGTGAGCCGAGATTGTGCCATTGCACTCCAGCCTGGGTAACATGAGTGAAACTCCGTCTCAAAAAAAAAGAAAAGAAAAAGAAAACATGCTGGGCGTGGTGGCTCAAGCCTGTAATCCCAGCACTTTGAGAGGCCGAGGTGGGTGGACCACCTGAGGTCAGGAGTTCGAGACCAGCCTGACCAACATGGAGAAATCCTGTTTCTACTAAAAATACAAAATTAGCCAGGTGTGGTGGCACATGCCTGTAATCCCAGCTACTTGGGAGGCTGAGGCAGGAGAACTGCTTGAACCTGGGAGGCAGAGGTTAAGGTGAGCTGAGACTGCACCATTGCACTCCAGCATGGGCAACAAGAGTGAAACTCCATCTCAAAAAAAAAAAAGGCCGGGTGTGGTGGCTCACGCCTGTAATCCTAGCACTTTGGGAGGTTGAGGCGGGTGGATCACCTGAGGTCGGGAGTTTGAGGCCAGCCTGACCAATATGGAGAAACCCCATCTCTACTAAATATATAAATATTAGCTGGGAATGATGGCATGCGCCTATAGTCCCAGCTACTTGGGAGGGTGAGGCAGGAGAATCACTTGAACCTGGGAGGCGGAGGTTGCAGGGAGCCATGATTTCAATATTGCACTCCAGCCTGGGCAATAAGAGCAAAACTCTGACTAAAAAAAAAAAAAAAAATAGGGGCTAGGCACAGTGGTTCATGTCTATAACTCCAGGACTTTGGGAGACCAAGGCAGGAAGCAACGAATTCAAGACCAGACTGGGCAACATAGAGACGCCAAATCTCCACAGAAATATGTCAATAAAAATACAAGTTATTCTAAATTCTCCAAATTTTATTTTCCTTTGTTTTATTAGGGTATAACATGTTAAAAATGAAATTATAAATTTGTACACTCTTCAGCATTTACCTAATAATAGTGAAACCTAGTTTACCTTCTATAACAGCCTAATATTAACATTATATAATTCTGTAATATTATATTAACAACATTCTCTAGGCTTGAAAATCAGAATTGCACCGGCACGGTGGCTCACGCCTGTAATCCCAGCACTTTGGGAGGCTGAGGCGGGCAGGGGTCAGGAGTTTGAGACCAGCCTGACCAATATGGTGAAACCCCGTCTTAAAAAAAAAAAAAAAAAATCAGAA